ATCTAAAATTCCCTTGTATCAATAGATTTAAGAATTTCTTTTCTTTTTGCATGTTCATTCGAAATAGTATTTCCAGAAATATATCTCTTCAAGTAGCTATCTCGATAATAATTAGCTTCACTAAAACTATTTTCAGGTATAAAAATTAAGGAGTCACATATACTACAATATATGTAATTTAATGGAAGATCATGAACTCTATCACTTCTTTCAATTAATTTTTCACACATTGTAATGTATCTATTTTCAAAAAGAATTCTTAAGTTCTCTTTAAATATTTTTCTAAATAGATCACGGTTACAGGAGTATCACATTTCTGATATTTCATGATCATATCGTTTACCTAAAGGATATAATGCTTCTAATATTCTTCTATATTCATTGAAGTTTACATCACTATAGCCTATGGAAACTAGCTTATATTGGGTTCTACTATTTAAATCCATAAAAGTGTTTTAGTAGATTATAATGATTTTGTGATATTGTTAATTTACAAGCGTTTTTAGCGAATTCTAGCAATTCTTTAGTAACTTATACTATAGAATATCATCATTCAAATTTATACAGATTTACTGATTAGCAGTTAATTGATCTATAACCTATTTGTGAGACTACATGCTAATAAATCCAAAATTCATTTTTTATTCGATTACAAGCATATCAGGATTTATAAATTTATATAGGGTCATATCAGTGACATATCTCAGCTATATTTTACATGTGATTTGACTGTAGGCGTTGTGCATGATGTATAACATAAAAATTTGTATCATCTTGACTCTCAGACAGTTTTTAACACTTTTTCGCAACCTTCTCACAACTCAAATCATGAGATGATCGACCAATCAGATTTTATCTTCCCTAATCTAGCTAAGCCACCATTAAACGAGATTTTAATAAATATCTTGTTTGAGAGTATTTATATTATCTCAAAGAATAAGGAGAGCATAAAACACATAATACTTTTAAAAAATCAAAGTAAAGCCCTTTATTATATTTTTTCAAAGTACATTCATAGTATAATAACACAGTATAGAAAAAATACACTGATTAATGAAACAATAATAGTGATATACAGAAAAGCCTAATGAAATACTATAATGACTAATGTAGTTACTGCATATTACCCCTCACATTTGATAATTCTTGGGCAGTGATAATATCATAAGATGGTAGTGGATAAAGGGATAAGAATAGTTCTTCATACGTGAAAGTTCTTCTCTAACCGACCAACTACTCTGTATCAGAAATATCCATTTATCATTAGTATTTAATGAGCTAACAGGCAGAATTGTTGAGCATCTAACAGAAAGTGACTGTCTTCGACCAACAGATGGTGATTATATTTGGCTAATAGGTAGTGATTGACTTCAACTAATAGATGAATTTCGACTTAACCGTCTTTCAGAGGATCTCAATTCACATTTGACTTCCTTGGTAGATAGTACAGATGTAATATTTTCACTACCTAGTTTAACTAGACTTTAATCAAAGTTTAACCAGACTTCAAACTAATAATATCTATTCACAAGTGAACGTATTTCGTCACATAAAAGGAAAAAAATCCTTTATTATTGATTATTATAGATTTATATATGTCAATTCAAAGACGATGATTAGTCTAACGCTAGTAGGATAATAAAATTTTCTAAGATCTCTAATGGAAAATCACATGTGGTATATCTTTGTTTAAGTTCACAGCCTCCCTAAAATAGAAAGTTCATTATGTAGAATGATTATTATTACACTATTCTTATTTCAATTGTAATCAATAAAGATCAGAATATTTGTCTTAATCGTAGGTTAAGGATCTGTAGATAAAGAATCACACATGCATTACTAATTCCTATTCAAAATAGATTAATGTATGATTAGTCTATATACGTAATCTGAATATGCTAACATCAGTAAGATAATAAAAATATACTGTTTATTCAAAGATCTGAAAATTATATATTCTAGAATTTCTTTTTAACAACACCTTATCTTATGATCTGCAATGTAAATCAGGATATTAGAAATTCAGAACTGCATAATAAGTGAAATAGAATATACCAGAACTTTGGGAAAAGTTTATCAGTATAGCAACACAAAAATATTGCTCTTGGCCAGAGTTATTAACAGATCCTACAACTGCAGATGCTGGTGATGTACTACTACACATAGAATATTCTGCAAATTCACATAAGCCAGTGACATATTATTAAGATATTGTATTACTGCGCATTTTAGGTGATCAATTTCACATAACTGGTCTAAAAGTAGTCTAAGCCACAATTGCAAACTTGAGTTTATTACTTGAAGTGAAGCAAGTAAGACAATATTCTGTTCTATACCATTCGCCATGTAATCCATAATTCCCATGTTTCTATCACAAATAGACATGGTAAGTTCTATGGCTGAGGTGATGCAAAAATATAATTATCAATCTCTCTAAAACTATTTCAGAATTTTAAGTATGAAAAATGCTCTAAGATGCATTTGATAATTAATTTTGGATCGGGTTTGATTTCAAAAGTGATAGGCTCCTTTTCTTCACATTATTTAGAAAAAGATAAATAAGATACTTTATTTTCTGGCTTCGAATTTATGAGAAGGCTGGCTTCTGATGCATACATTTTTGATAATTACCATGGCTCATATCCAGTTTCTTTTTTATATTTTTTGTATAAGCTAGTCTGAATCTTATCTGTCAAAACACTTGGTAATCCAGTTAATTAGGCATGCCAATTCAAATATTCAGGAGTTAATATTTTATCAGACTTGATCATGTTGCTTTTTATATAAATTAATTTAAATTTAATTAGGTAGTAGTTGACCTGTAAAAAAAATATCATATAATGAAATGTGAACAAATGTAGTATTATAAAATAATAAGACTATGCAGTTATCTCAATCTCGTGCTGTTCACATTTAATAAAATAAGATCCAGCTTTATATGTATCTTCTATACTTTTCTCATCATCATGCTTTAACTTATATAATGGACATGATGTCTCGTCAGTAATGCTACAATAATTAAAATTTTCACTACCAAATTCCCTACATAAATTAGGATATTGATCAATATCTTGTTTTTAAAATAGGATCAGTCATAAGTTAGTTTAGATTAGAATGCAGATGATATACTTGCCGATGAACTCACTCCTAAGGGATTTGCTGTCTTATTAGTTTTTAAAGTCACGTGTCCATTCCAATTTGGAACGAAGTTTTCATAACCTACATCATCCGTATTAGTAGCTTTTTTAGAAAAATCATTTATAATGTCCTGGATCTGGTTATCAGATAAATTCGAGATAGCACTTGCACTACAGCTAATTATTTGGATTCTATTTATTCCTATCCTATCAAACAATATATAGATTTTTTTAGCTCTGAAAGTTATTTTACGTAAGTTTACATCAGTAATGTCAGGAAGAAGGGTTTAATTTCGCTGTACACTAATGTTCTTGCTGATTTGTCATCAATACCATTCTTAGACTTAATATCCCTAACTCAATCCTCATATGCTTTATAGTAATAATACCAGTATAAAATCTCCTTACATCTAAGCTTCATTGCTACTCTAAACAGATCAACTATATTCTATGCTGTAACTTCACTAGATTCCATCAGAATTACTTCTAAAGAGAGTTCAGAAATCTGAATATCAAATGCCTTATTAATCTTACTATCACTAACTTCAGTGAAGGATAGTTCTCGTCTCAAATCTTGCTCCACTTTTTGATTATAAGGAATTTTTTAACACTCCGTATCTATGTTCTCAGAAGTCTCCACCATAGATGATTTTACTGGTGATGTCTTAGCAGATGATTTATTACTAGAGGTAACTGGAATTGATTCTTTGACTACCTGTTATGGGAGGGTTACAGGCTCAACGCTAGTCATAAAGAGATCCTCTTTACAGTGAGTCAAGTCTGAAATAACTGAGGATGAGTCTTTGGTAATTGTCTTATGCTAAACCTTCTTTTCCCGCCTCTTCTCTCTAATTTTGTCACTAATACTTTTCTTATTTACTTCAACTAAGAAAGCATCCATCTCCATTTCCTCTGATGTTTTAGTGTTAACATTATTTCGCTAGTCTATTACGGTGTTAGATAAATTAATATTTGATACTATTACCTCTGACAGTACCTCTATAATCGCTTCCTTATCATTCTGTAGTTGTTCACCTACCACCAAGAAACTCTATTCCAATATTGTGAATCTATTCTCAAGTTTCCTATTTTTTTGCTCTAGTTCCTCAACTCTAACATCACGCCTGATATTCTCCTCAATAATCTGCCCCAGTTTCACAATCTCAGTCTTAAGCTTGTAATTCTTAGCCAAAAGTCTAACATTTTCTTGTCTAAGTAAGTCAATCTCAGATTCCATTTTTGATTATACAAGTATTCAAAATAAAAAAGTTATTGTGTCTGTTCCAATTTGGAACACAGATCACTTTTGCTGAGAAAAAATAGTTTATTAATAGACGCAAATAATAAATATAGCGTTCGGGACGTAGTTCATGATACATGTTGTAATTTTGTTTTACAAAGTGAAATGTTTCTATACTAATGTCTAAGAACTACACCAGTTTTTTACAACTTATATTAATACATTATCACAACATTATCTCCTTCATTTGTCCAAATAACTGATATTCTGGATAATATAAAACGGTTGTTAATTATACGAGATATGCAGTGATGGAAATAAATCAATAGTTTATAACATTAACCTTATGCTGAAAAGTTATGTCATTTGCATTACATGATTCCAGTAAGGCCCCTCATAAATCTATACAAAAAATGGGTAAGAAAACTTTGTCACACAAACTTGAATTCTGATGCAATGTATGTAGCACAATCAATTTTCACATAAAAATGCGCAGTTACTCCTTTCTCCTCTTAATCATTATATTCATATCGTCTTACTCATTATTATATTCACTCATTATTATATTCAGAAAAAATTTTTTTTTACTGATTTACTGATTATTTATAAAGTAAACGTTAAAAATGGATCACATCAACTTTTCCCTTGTTGACTCTTCTTTCGATAACCTCGATCTTAATGTTTTTTCTTCCACGAAAGAAGAAACGGACATTTTATCTTCAATTAAGGAAGAAATGGATGCTAGAAAAGGTAACTTTAGCTTTATTACGAAAAATAAGAAAAAGGAACTTTCTAAAGTATTTTTCATAGATCTGGATGTTTATCGAAGGAATGATGCAGAAGAACAGAACCACAAAGAAAGTTTACAAGCAATTTCTTCTGCCATACAAGTAAGTCTCAAAGGTTTGGCTTCCTTTTATGTATGACATGATGTTGATACCTGTTCCTTAATGCACATCAGGAACAATCGAATTTCCAACAGCCCCAATCCACAGCCAATTGTTGTAAAAGTGAATGGAACCACGATCATGATAATTACCCCATGGGATGCCCTCGGCTACCTCTACACAATCAATTTTCCCCTCCCAAAGAAAGACCCCAAGACAAAAAAACCGAAGTTCACATATCTGAGCCAAGTGAAATTCCTTTTTCGGCATCTCGACCAAATTCGTCGGTGGATAATAATAATGGGAAGTCGCAAAAGTTATCCAACAATGATCAACGTCTCTTGGAAGTCGAACCAGGAAAAAATTATAGGCGTTGCATTTGGTGTATCAATTTCAGCTCCCACCGAGAGAAGAAAGAAAGAATTAGCTTCAATCCGAATAGAAAACGACCAACACCTTTTCCCTCGGGACCAGAATGGAGTCGTGATCCCATCTCAAGAAACGTGGATGTTCGGGAATTGCGCGGAGACGAATGCTTGGACTACTTTATGTCTGTTCAGAACAGATCTCCAAATCAAAACTCGAACAGAATATCTTCTGAAAAAAGTAGTAGTACCGCCATGCATGAATTGCCAAGCTTGTCAGAATTGGTTGAATCGATAAAGAATGATCATAAGTACCGTGAATTTTGTGAAAATGAAGATAATTGGTTAATTGACCAGGAATATTTCAGTGACACATATGGAATCACCAAAATTCATCCGCTTCTTGTAGATCGTTACGGAGGATCTCTTATGTTTTTAGATGACCGTAATATTCTGTTTGAATGGTGTGAAATGACACAAAGCATGTATATATTGGGAATTAACAAAATGGAAGGTTTTGCAAACTTCCTCTACCATCCAGAAAAAAGGTGTGTCATAGAGGTAGATGGTAAGTTGATACCTGATATGGAACTTGAACGTCAAGCAAAAGAGTCGGCGAAAGTTGAGTTTACTAATTTAGCAAAAGCATGAAATAAGTAAGATCAGGTTGATAACTGTAACTTTACATATATAAAGCTTCTTCTTCCTCTTTGGTTAGGTTAAATTTATCTTGCTTAAACGAATGATAAATTTTACTTTTGTCTCGAATAAGTTTTAATTTACCTATGCAGTATATATATATTTTGCTATATGTGAGAAGGTTCTTTGCATTTTGGATTTTAAATGTAACACAAAAATTATTATGATCAATAAAGAATAAACACATTATCATGCGAAAAAATGAAGCCCAATTTAGTTGGGCAAGACTTTATTGTATTTTTCGTAAAGTATTATATGAGAGAGTGCAAGTAAAAATGAATGTAAAGATGATGAAGAAGCAGAGTTTCATTAAATCAAGCTCAGATGACAAGATGGGATAATTCAAAAGTTCGAATTAGATATATAAATAATAAAAAAATCACGCGTAACGATTTATCACGCCGATCACTTTTGCCAAGAAAAATTTTTATTATTACATGCGAAAAATAAATAAAAATGTTCGGGACGTAGCCCAGGATACATTGACTACATGATTACAGACTATAATCGTACCCCTATTTTTTCGAACGATATCCCTCTATCCTAGCTCTCTTTCTATCTGATTTATCCTCCACACATGCCCTATCTTCCAACAAGCCAATGATTATACCTAAAACCTTTTTGACGCCCTTACGCAACGTTTGATATACTTCGGAGTTCTCAACCAGAGCCTCTTCGACAAATTCGATGCTAAAAGGGGCCTTACTCGCCTGTAAAATTTCACCTGGAGAATAGAGGAGAAAATGCCAATCCCTGGCAGACGTCACAACCCCGTACAGATAGTCAAAATAGTCCTCGTCACGCTTTCGTTTTCTCTTGTTCGTCTGAAACGAACTTTCAAGTTGCTTGATATTCTGAGCGAAGCCTTCTGTTAATTTTTGCTGGACCTTGTCCTCTGTGATGCAAATAAGATCATCGGATTCCTACGAGATTATATTTTACGGTATGTTAACGGGTCCCTCTAGGACAACATAAGATCTAGGAGGAGTGGTAAAAAAATACATGGCTTTACCTTGATTGCATAATCGACCCGCCCACTACTTTCATCTCCAATTATTTCGTACTCAGGCCTCATACTAAATTTCTTTTTCGTAATATCTTCTGCGATACGAAGGGCGGTATGTAGTATATTGAAACGTACTCATTACGCATGGACTCCAAACTTGTCATTACCAACGTTCCATAACTTTTAAGTCGTAACTTGATATCTGCCATACACAGTTCGAGATGCTTATTTTCGTCTGGGATTTCGTGGATTCGTGGTGTGAAAAGAGGTATAATCTCTGTGCCCTCAGATGCGAGGTCATATTTTTCTAATACTTCTTTTAAGCTACGGTATGTCGAAAAAGCCCTCAACTTCTTATCCTTACACTCCTTGGCAAACTTTACGAGTCTCTTAGCAGGTCCACCTGGCATTCCCCACTTATCAAGCTCTTCCTGGGTCAAGTCAAAGAAGTCCTGGCCCGTAATCTTCTCCTTGCGAATAATATTTTCGTCGTCCAAGTCCAACCCTAAGTCCCGTTCCTGCAAAAACGAAATAAGGGCTCCAGTGTCATATTTTTTTATTTCGTCCGCTAACGTGAGTTTCTCATTTCCAGTAGCGGTTGTGGAGGAAGTGGAGACAGGCGTGTCTACAATATCTGTCATTTATTTCTGATGGGAACGCAAGTGTTAATATAGGTTTTTATGTAGTACAGACATCACATCATTACACGTGACCGCTTACTCGTATATTGATAGGATAATAAATAAATAATACTTTATTTATGAAATAAAAAACGTTGGTTGCCAGAGGCAACTCTACAATACATAAAAATTGGCCGTTAAGGCGCTTTGCATGACTATATCGCTATATGATATAAGAAAATTATTCTGAGCCTAAGAGGGGCTGAGTGACGACATGGAAATAGTCTGCTCAGGGTTGTTCATTAAAAAAAGTGGAAATCAAATCCTGCGGTTGCATAGACGCCTCACTAGAATAAACTTGATGAATTTTTAGGTGAATAGTATTGAAGGGTACCCCTAATCTGCTTTGAATTGTAGCTTCAAGTACGCTAACTGCTTGGCTCCTGCCAACTGTAACTGTTTGCACAACTTGATCGCGTGAAAGAGCATGAAGTTCTTCACAAGGAACAATAAGACATTAGAGAATGATATTATCTGCGCCAGAAAACATCTTGATTCCTAAATTCATGAACCCATAGTGAGAAAAACTCGCTTCCATACATACATAACTCTTAGTATACACACCTTAATTTTTTTGCAGGAAGGTTGGCTGAACTTTCACATACCCCTACATGCTTTATATCTTGTTGGGAAAAGATAAGGAAATATGAGGCATAATTAGTATTGCTGTCTGATGTCAAGAGTTCCATGAAGATACATGTAAATGGAATTCTCATACCTTTTCAAATATAAATCTACCAGAAAGACGCAAAGGTAGTTAGTTCTTGTAGATCTTGAAATTACAAAGTTCTTAACCCTTCATAGCATATGCTTTTGCCATCAGTATTTACTTTTACGGTAGGTTCTATATTGAAACTAGACCTCCTTTTACATTTTTTTACATTTGTTTGGGAAAAAATAGCCGTTAAGGCGCTTTGCAAAGAACAAAGGTTAATATGTTTTCTTTTTTGAATGTATATACAAAATTAATATGTCGTACAGACCTATTATGTGATCAGCCTATTTTTGTTACACATGAGTACATGTATGACTTAGCAAATTCTTTTGAACTGGCAATTATTACTCTGAGCTGATGAGTACTATTTTAGACTCTAAATTGAATATATGCTAACCAGAGGTAAACACAATCATGACAAGCAATACTAATATTAGTTCTGATAAAAGCAAAGCTTAATTATATGAAATGTTTTTGTATAAGAAGAAAGATATAATAGCTATTTAGAAAAAACTCGGTATATTTTCAGACCCGAAGAAGGGATCTATTAAGAGTAGAAATCAAATAGCATTGAATTAAAGCAAAAAAGGAAAAATACTTGAAGATTCGTTTAGGCTGTTATTTGATTTAGTAGGGGAATTAATAGATATACAGAAAAATTTTGATGTGAATTGCCACTCTATTCTTACTATATTATATAATAATATACATGATCTTGAGGGAGAAACATATGGGAAAAGGTCACTTGGAACATTATATCATTTGCTTTTATATTTGGAAGAGAATATAAGCATGATTCAAAATGTTCTTAGTATTGTCAGTCATTCTGATCAGAAAATAAGTGGATTAGAAGAAGCTAATAAAAATGCAAGAGTATATCTTCAAAACTTCTGATGATTTCTTTTCTGAATATTAACACACCTGGATCATTTTCTACTAAAGGTGAAGTCCAGAAAGAGTAAAAATGTTTTATTTTTTTAAGCGATGATCCACTTATTTTTTGTTGCATAATCTGACCAAAGGCAATATGCATGGCTCAGCAAAAAATCTTCTGAGCTAGCGATCACTCCTCTGAACTGGTTAGCTTAGAATAATCATCTTTTTGTGTAAACTCTAGTTCTCGTGCCAATCTATCTAATGTTAATTTACGATCAATTATATAGACTTCTTGTCAAAGTTTAGGCACAACCCTTGCAAAAAACACTTTTTTAATATTTTTATTCACATCTTCTATAATATCATCTAAACTTTCCATATTATGCAAATTACTAGTAAACCCATACTTTGTTATAGGAGCCTATATTCTTAATTGAAAAAATAATATTAATGTATACATAGTGACTTTTCTATCCGCTTGCTCATATGCCAGAAAAAATATATAATATTCATGTTAATGCTGTAACTTGTCTTCCCTATATATTCACTATTCACTAGTCTAGATTATAAAAAAGCTTTGCTAGAAGACAGTTAGATTGACATTACTCTAAACATTTATTCTATTTCATTATCTGATCTTTTGCGATTTTTTCTTTAGCTATATAATAATAAAGCTCATATAATTTTTCTAGGCTGACATACAGATCATTATTTGCATATCTTTTGCGATAATTTTCTAGCCTTAGAATGTATACCTCTTCGTTAGAAAACATCTTAACTGCGACTATCTTAATATAGTCATTCAAATTCTTTTCAGCTCGCAATTTCTTTAGATAGTCTCCATAGTTTTTTGTAAGATTATTATATTTTTTGCCCTTTCGCAATGCAGTTTTATGACTTTGACTTATGCAAGTTCTATATCCTTATGATCGACCATTTTTATAATGTTTCTACTATAATGATAAAAAAACTTTAATTAATGAAAATATATTTTTAGAATTTTTTTATCTGAAAAAATATTTGTTATAAAATATCTATATCTTAACATGAAGTTTAGCTTTCATAGCCCTTTCTTCTGCTTTCTCAAGAGATATTTCAGATGCTATCAGGTATTTATATAGTCCAATTTTCCAATATCCATAAGGGAGAATTTGAATCTCATTAAGTAAGATCTAGCGCTTATTATCATATAGATTTAACCCTATCTTATTTACCCTCTTCAGATATATTTAATGATCATAACTGCGTAAACTATATATATCATGCTAGGTTAATTTCTTATTCCTAAGACATTCTAAGAACTTATCATATTGAAACTCCCTTTTGATCACGCATTTCTTTACACCCTTTGACTTTCTATATTCTTCCTCTTCTAACTCTTTTTCAAAATCTATATCTGTTTTAGAAGTTTTAGAATCATGATCTGCTGGAAAAACTGAATACATTTTTGGCTTTAAGCATACTGATTCACCTATTGAATCTCCTTTTGTCTTATCCTTCATTAGAAATAAGTCTCCTGAATAGTTAAGATCAAAAATATCTGGTCTTTCTGCTCGATCTTTATAGATATTCTTAGTTTCTATCCACATGATAAGTGAGTCTGTATCTGTATAAAGTAGACGGGCCTTTTCTTCATAGTGAGGCTTTATGTAATTGTACCAAAAGTTAAATATCATGGCCTTGCTAATGTCGAGAATTGCCTGCCCTACATAGATTAGTTTGTTTAAAGTTACTGTGCTCTTTAATATGTGGACTGCTGTAATTCCTTCTTCAAATGCTTTAAAGCCTACAAATAATGGTAAACTTATTAAGCGCCTGATTTTTTTATCCTTTTCTGTTCAGAGTAATTCTATTCTCATATGTTTACGGACATTCTCCATCTGTTTGCCGAAGACTGCATTATTTTTTAACTTATAGTACATAACTCCAAACTCATTCCCAGTAGCCTTAGCTATTTTGCATTTACAAATATTTTTCTCAATATATTCTTTCATTCATAAAGACTGCTGAAATTTTAATCCTTCATGAATCTTTGTAACTTTCATCCCCATTTTCATGTATAACTAGAGTATATGATAATAGATTACGTAGTTCTTTTTGAGATAAAGGATTTGGATAAGCTTTTCTCCTGTTATATATTTTCCGCTCCCAACTTCTTTATCATATACTAATCTTTTATTATGCAAGCTAAGTCATTCTTCTGAAACTATCTGCTTTTTTGATGCTAAAGGATAATCCGCAAAGAAATCATGCAAGTGCACTGAAGCTTCTAGATCAACTTCTAATGTATATCCTATTTCAGTATCTGGTGCAATACTTTGTATGTCCAGAATCTGTTCTGGGCTTACTTTTTTCAATATTTCTGTAGGCATGTATTGAGTCATCGCATCTGAATATAAAGCATTCATATCATCATATAAGATCTAAGATATTAGTTTGCCTGGATTATAATCAGAACATTTAGGATTATTAGCTTTGGTATAACGGTAACTTACCATTGTCATACATCCACGAATACCCTTCTCAACTATCAAGTACTCATTCATATCTGTCATTAGCTTAAGTTCAGCTCCATTATTTTGTATAAGGAATCATTAAACATTCCTAATACAGATACGTAATGAGAAGAATCTAAGCCATTATCATTTAAGCACATGATAGTGTTACACAAAAGAAGACATGGATGATGATAATCTAAAGGATGACATCGATCCCTAAAAAATCATATATGTCTTCTATGTCATCTATATCATCTATAACATATATTTCTTTTATACAATATATTTCTTTTATTTATTTTATATTATTTATCTCATATAGTTATTATAT